TTTCATATTTTTACGGTGAGAATACGAAAAAAATGTTTTTTCCGGTAAAAATTTAATTTTTACTAAAAATTTTCCCATACCACAAACTCACCTCCTCTCGCCCTTCAGCACAGCAAATCTCTACTGCATTCGAGAGCTGCGAGGCGTCCAGCATCAGATCTTTCCATTCAGCATCCAAAGCTTCAAATCTTTTGCTGTCCTCAGGCAACTGCGATCGTATATCGTCGGACAGCATAAAAATCGGCTCCAGTCGGCACCAATTTCGTTGGACTTTTTGCCAAACTGTAAGAACCGAATCAACGGTGCGTAATTTCAGACCTGAAAAAAAATAATTTTTACAAAAATCTTCGCGCTGCGCTCAAGGACAGCGTTCGAGGAATATATAGTTTCCTCACTAATTATGAAAGTGTACAGAAACTACTAAAAATTTTCCGAAAATTTCCTCAGAAATTTCCTCTTGCGATGAAATAATTTCGTGGCGCAGTGACAAAATCTCACCCAGTGTTGGAGTAGGAATATATATTCGTTTTCCTCAGCTGCTGAGCTCAGTAGAGTTATGAAAATGTTCAGAAGGCAATAAAAATTCCCTCAGAATTTTCATATTATCACCAACACATGTAGTTGACCATGTGCGTTTTTTGCTAGAAAATTTTTTCCCGGAAATATTTCATCGCAAAATTTGGGAAAATTTATAAAATCAAAAATATTAAAAACCATAATTCTGAACAAAAGTAGTATTCAATTCGAAATACTCACACATACACTCATTTTGGTGACAATATGGGAAATTTTTTTTCATTTTTTCCGTAAACTCAATTTTCTTTCCATGAATTTTCCTGAAAAAAATACAAAAAACACATATTTTTCCCAAATTTTACGAAAATTCTCATTTTTTTCACAAATTTTACGGAAATTATCATATTTTCCCTAAATTTCACGAAAATAATCATACTTTTCCCAGATTTTACGAAAATTTTCATATTTTCCCAAATTTTACCAAAATTTTCATATTTTCCCCAAATTTTACGAAAATTCTCATATTTTTCCCCAACT